ATATATATATATATATATATATATATATATATATATACACATACATACATACATACATACATACATACACACACTGTTTTCTCTATTCTATTCTAATATCTAGTTCCGTTGTTGTACAATTTCCTGTTTATAATATTCTGTCTTCCTTTCTTCCTTTTAATCTGCGCTTGAAGAAATGGTATTTTCGATTAATTACGTTATACATTACAATTGAATATATTAATAATTTCTCTCTCTCTTTCTCTCTTTCCTAAATATTTAAGAGCATCTTTTCCTTTCTAATAAATAAAGCTTTTTTCTCTCTTTCTCTTTCCTTTTATTATGGATTAGTTTTCAGTTCTCTTCCTTGTGTTTTATATCTTTCCGACCTAAAAAAGATATTCAACACTGTAAAAATAATATATATATATATAATATTCAACTACTGCAAAAATAATATATATGGACAACTTATTTATTTACATTACGAGCTACGTAATAGTAACAATATTAAAGAATTATTGACAACATAGAGCTGTTTATTATTACTTTCAAGTGCAAAGTGTTGTTTGGCGATAAGACTGAAATCACCGCTTTTAAACAGTAATGCGCTTTCATGGATTTTCTTCTCAGACGGGAGCTTTATACGCATGCGTAAACGACGTCTCATCTACTCAAAAGTCTCGACGGGTGCGTACAGAGTCTCCCACCTAAGAAAAAAATCTACAAAAGCTCACTATCGCTTTTAAATTGCTTAAACCAAATACGCACACATCGCACAATATAACACTTTCGCTGCAAAATAAACAAATCAATTCGTACGCTTTTTGCTTGAATCATTACCTCATCATGATAGATAGTAACACCTGCTCATTACTTTAATAATGTTAAATATTAGAAATTAATTATCCTTACACGTATCTATCATAAAATTTACATATTAATAACACTAATTAATAAGACAATTTTTAAGGCATACTACCAATATAAACAATAAGGACTTATAACTAGATATACTGAAATAAAAATTTAAAGTATTTCTCATATATTCTGATATAATAGTTGGCATGAAAGCTGAGCTTTAATTACATAAAGTTATGACTTAAATCTCTTTGTTACTTATTTTTGATATTTAAAAGTATAGTCGCATTCTCACGTTATTGTGAGAAGTTTCGATGGTTTAAAATGGATTTGCTACAATTGTATTTCGTAATACAGGGTAATAAATTGAGACTAAATATATAAAGCAAAATTAAGAAAATGTTTGAGAAAAAAGTGATAGGATTTTAAGGAGGTTGTATGATAGTACTATTGTGTGATTTTTGAGTTTGTGAATGCGCCAAGATCTTTTCAAGATCAATTTGAATTCTTTAAATGGAATTATATGGTTTTTTAACATAAACTGATTTTTAAAGTCATCTTACATATAAAAGTACTAGGAAAATTACCAAAAAGTGGATATTCTTTCCGAAATATTTTACATATTAATCTAATATTTTTTAGTACAAGAAATATCTCTTATAATATTGCATATTTACTATCATTGCACCTATTTTAATTAATTACAATGAAACATGCTGAATAACATCTTTCTTGATTTTAGTGATTTTCTACTGAATTTTATTAAAACTTATTGAAATTGACTGAAATTTCGCTGCTTTTCAATGAAATATTGCTGAAATAATAATGAAGATGGGTCAATTGATAGAATTTTTCAGCTAAATTTTAGCACATTTCATTATGTTCTCAGTAAATTTCATTATATTTTCAGCAAAATTTTTCCATCAGGATGATAATATCAATTTTATTACTTTCCAATTTCAAAATTTTAATTTCTAAATTATATATTTATTCCGACAATTTTTTAGATAAATATTCTTACAATTAACTTTATTACACATTGAAATTATTCTATTTTAAAACTTGACACTCTACCAATCAAAAATATAATCATATAATAGGTCATGTAATCACATGATTGCGACATCAAAAGCGCCGACAGTTACTATCGTAATTCGTTACGATATTTAAATTATGTTATCACATCGCCTCCCTTGAAAACCTATAACCATTGTCTGAAACATTTGTTTATTTTGCTTTATTTTTTATTTATTTAGAAGTCATAATTTAAATGCCGCTTCCTGTATATTTTCTGTGCAATATTATCAACTCATGTCTTAGGCTGCTTTTTAAATATATTTATTTTATATTATACTTTCGCAGTGATTCAGGCAAATACACCAAAATCGCATTAGGAATCGATTTTTCCAATTGCTTGATGAGCTAATTAATAGTTAAATCTTATGTCTATCTTTGTCTAATTTAAAGGAAAAACGAAAATCTAGATCTATTAAACATACCTGAATGGTGCACAGGACTTTGCTAGCGCTCATTTAAATAATATGTCAGCCAATAATTGATGGTTCAACTTCCTTGGATCTTTCAAGCAAGAATTCGTAGTATGAAAATCTTATGAAAATGAATCTCTGCGTTGCGATAAATCTGTTGTAACTTACCTGACTTAACTGTCAATCAATAATGTCTTTTGATTTTCTCTGACATATTCTAAAATATAATTGCTTCTATGTTTGTATTTTTATTGTTGTACCTTTCCGCGATGCTGTTTATTATTTTCATTTGTTATCCTCTAACTTTTTCTGTTATATTTCTGGTCTATTTTTGTTTTGTGCGTATTTGTGCGTATCTTGTGCACTTAAGAGTATTTTCCAATAATATTTAATAAATATCGCTTTTTTCTTTTCTTTTTCTTCTTTGCCTTTATTTTTCCCTCTTCTTTTTTTGCACACTATCATCTTTTCTTCTACCTTCTCACCTTTCATTCTATCCTCTCTCACTTTGTCATTCATCCACAGTAAGGGCTATCACACACAAATTGACATAACTGCATATGCATAGCATAAGATGGACCAATGAGCATCGAATATTAAGCATCGAACACCAATATGGCGACTTAATACTCGATGCTCATTGGTACATACGGTCTTATGCTATGCATATGCAGTTATGTCAATTTGTGTGCGATAGCCCTTATTCTCAGTAGCGTAGCCAGAGAGGCTAAGGGGGCAGCCTCCCCTCCCGAAATTAATTTTCTGAGTTACACTAAGTGTGAACAATTTTTTCGAATGACTTTTTTTTGCTCGTCAAAAATAAAAACCCCCCTGAAACTTTTTTCTGGCTACGCCACTGGTTATTCTTATCTTCTATATCTGTCTTCCTAATTTCCTTCTTTTTTTAGCATATATTCCTTCTCCATCTCTTCATTTCTTTTATTTCTCTCACCCACCCTCCCTCGGTTTTGATATTTAAAACTAATACTGTCTTGTCAGCTATCCTCATTATCTAATTCTTATTTTCTTTTTATAGTTCTCCCACATATATATATATATATATTCCCACATATATATATATATATATATATATATATATATATATATATATATATATATATATATATATTCCCAAGACACTAACTCACCTTCACAAATTCTGTATTTTATTTTTTTATTATTCTTCTAATATTTAGCCTTCTTTATTTCGTTCTCAAATTTAAACATTACTATTTCGTTCCATTTACTTTCCTCCATTCTACCTTCAATGATTTGGAGTGCTCTCCACTCTTTATTGATCTATAACATTGATCTGTTAAATTTTCATTCCCTTATTTTTTCTCATCTTCTCATTCTCTATTCCTGTCTCACTTTTCTCTTTCTACAGTTATATTCCTTTTGCTTCTCCTAAAGTCTCTAAATTTTCTAGATACATGTTTTTGCCTCTTGTCCCAAAATAACTTCCCACACAATATGTATGTCTCAAAAATGCTTTGAATCCTACCTTTCTTTAAGTTTTGCAAACGTCTTTGAGACATGCATGTATTGTGTAGATCCTTTTTTCCTCCTTTTACTTCTCCAATTTTACCACCTTCTTCATTTTTACATTCATTTTTATTCGTCATTTTTTTGAGTTTTTCCCTTTTTTTACTGAGTATAGCTATTTGTATTTAATTAATTAAATGTTATAATCCCACTCAACAATATAACTCTTAACATATATTGTATTTATAATATATGTCATATTGTATTACATTATTGAATGGGAAATTAATTCAATTACTCAATAAGCATTAAATAACATTAACATTACAACACGTTGTAATGTTAATGTTATTTAATACTTATTGAGTAATTGAATTAATTAGATAAATCGAAATAATAGAAAGCTCCTCGAATAGATTAACTAACAGTGAGATTTGAAACGGCACATAAGGAGCAAGCACGGATGTCTTAGTGCTATTAAGGCTCCTGGGGAGTCGCATCATCCATCTCTTTTTAATGACGTCAGAAGCGAGAAAACGCATGCTAAAAATTCCTGCAAAATACGTCGAGATAAACAGATATATCCACAAAACGACATTTGCGATCGATTAAGTACACCTCTAAAATACTCCGTACACTTTCCTTTTGTTCTAACAATCAACAGATAATTATAAAATAAATGTGACGTGCAATCGTCTTTTCTAACCTAATTTCCTCATTATCTTGTCATATTAATTTTCCGATTATCTATTGATTTTTAGAACAAAAGGAAAGTGTACGGAGTATTTTAGAGGTGTACTTAATCGATCGCAAATGTCGTTTTGTGGATATATCTGTTTATCTCGACGTATTTTGCAGGAATTTTTAGCATGCGTTTTCTCGCTTCTGACGTCATTAAAAAGAGATGGATGATGCGACTCCCCAGGAGCCTTAAATACTAATATTACTTTTTAATATTATTATGATTGTGGAGTGCTATTAAATACTAATATTACTTTTTAATATTAATATGATAATCTACATTTTTTTTTTGGATAGATGATCGATATTTATTAGATTCGCTAAATAAATGTCATTGGCAGAACAATCTTTTACATTTAACTTTATTAATTCTAACAACTCTGTATTAGATTTCTTAGTGTTACGATCAACATATTTAACAAGTAGATTTAACAAGATCGATATAATTAGATTTCCATTACAACAATATTATACATAATATACATTGTAAGCATTATGTAGTTCTAAGTGTCTTGCATCCACAGGAAAGCTATGATAATCTACATTTTTTTTTTGGATAGATGATCGATATTTACATATAGCGTTAAGATTGTTAAAACTTATTCGATTTCTCTTTTTATCCTTTACATTCGTTACTATAGAAAATATTTGTTCAGCCTCAGCATTTGAGTGTGGAAGTGAAAGTGCTGCTTGAACTAACTTTTCCAAGTTCGGAAACATTGGTTGACCAGTGAAATTTTTTGTTTCAAAAATTTTTTTCCACATGACATCTAATTCTAAAGTAGCCAGCATATTCTTATCAGTGTTACTAAACATAATTGGCAACACTCTCCATTCAAAAGCTAAAGTTGTCATATCGTATGTTCCAAGATATGTAGCAATATTAGTCAAATCTTTAATCGTACTTCTTTCTTTATAACTCAAAGCAAATTTAGGATCCAAAAATTTTAAACCATCAAAAACTACATTGTTAAAAGGCAATAATTTTATCATTTCTTCTGTAGCTGAAACATAAAAATCTAAGCATTTTAATTTTACTTCTTCTATGAACTTAGGTTTTTTATTTTGCAAAAACATTTCGCATTCAGAACCAAAATATAATTCATTAAAAGACAAAAAATTTCGCGAATTAATAATATCTAAAGAAATATTTTGTAAACTGGCAGGTAATAAAAAATTTTGTCCTATTTGTCTTATTAACTGGTTACTACATTCGGACAATTTATGAATTAAGATTTTTCTAGATCGAAATAACGTATTAAAATTATTACAAAAATGCAAAGAGTATTTTAAGAACAACATATAAGCTTTAATGTAATCATCTTTTAAAATTTTATAAATATCTTGAGCTAATTTATTTTTTTCAGAAATCTCTATATAGAAGTACTCTATTAAATTCTCCCAATTATCAAGAAGTTTAATGATAAGTTTTTGTAAGATATCAGGCGATTTTATAGCTGATGACTTTGATACTTTATTCAATTCACTGCTGAAAAATAGTTGATATTCACGTAGAACAATTGACTCGTTTGCATTGTTGGAGTCGTATTTAGCAATTGCATACAACACATGTTCACAAGATTTCGGTAATTTTGAGAAAGCTTTGCTAGCAACAAATGCCGAGGAATGATACATGCATTTAAGCAATATAAGAGTTGGTATTTCTGTTTTTAATTTATTAATAAAAGAATTATAATTCTCAACCATTTCAGATGCGTTATTGGCATCACACGCCATTCCCACAATATTTTTTAATGGAATTCCTTTACTTTCTAAACAATTTTTAAATGCTAAATAAATGTCATTGGCAGAACAATCTTTTACATCTAACTTTATTAATTCTAACAACTCTGTATTAGATTTCTTAGTGTTCCGATCAACATATTTAACAAGTATAGAAAGAATTTTATCATTTGTAACAGTTATACTCTCATCGATTATAACCGAAAATTTTTGTTGTTTTAAATTTTCAATCGTATTTTCAGTTGCGTGTTTACCAATCACATTTTTTATAAGTTGTGTACATTTTCTGCGTGACAATGCAATGTCACTTGTTATCTCTGGATATATGCAAATTTCTTGTAAGAAACGAATCATATGACCTAATGAATCTAGAGCTATATCATATTCCGCATAAAATGTTATTAATTTATTTTCGGCTTCCTTTACTTTTTCCAAATAGTCTATATTTTCTGTAGCAGGCAACAAAGTCGGTTGATTAACTTTTCGTGCTTTTTGTCTATTTATATTATAAGCATGGACCTTCCGATCTGCATGCCTCATTAACTCAGACTTACCACATACAAGAATTTTATCGCAAGCAGTACAATAAGCTCTCTTACCGTCCAAGTGGTACGTTAACCAGCCCTTGAATATTTCATTGTCTAACCATGACTCTTTAAATTTCTTAATTTTTCGTCTTTTATGCAATTTTTCGTTTTTTTTGTCACTGGTCGATGATTGTTTACACTCCATTTTCTGGCAAAAAAATAAGTTAACTGCATTTAGCAGAAGAAAACTTAGTAAGTACTTTCCACTACGCTGACAGTAGCTTTGCAACTATTGTAAAATTTTCTTGTAAACGATTTGTGCTAAATCGTTCCAACATATTTACTAAACGATCGCAATTTTATTTCTCCCAAAGTTGTAGTATACTACTAACCAACTCTAGTATGGAGTGACGTTCAGTAATCAATATAGGGAGATTAACAATACACTCTTTATGGGCCCCAACGTTTTCACTTTGTGGCAACCACATATTGCTATAAATGGATAACTTGTATTATTTTTTAATAAAATTACGCCTTATATGAATTCCGACTTTTAAAATAACGTAACTTCTATTAAATTACTAGAATACGCGGATTACGTTTACGCAAGTTACGGCACCTTAAATGTCATTTAAGACCTTTACACGTCAAAAAGTCTTAACCATAATTCCGTAAATTTCCAACACATACAATCAGATAGGGCAACGCAAGTGAAAATTCATCCTTACGAATTTTCACTTGCATTGCTCTATCTGATTGTATGTGTTGGAAATTTACGGAATTACGTTTACGGTTAAGACTTTCTCACGTGCAAAGGCCTTTAGGGCCGATTGTTCAAATCTTTTAATAGTAAAGAGGTAGCCTGAAACCAAGTGAGAGAGAAAGAGAGAGTTCCAATCTCTTGGTAAGCTATCTGATAGTTAAATCATATATCTTTGTTTTTTCTTTAAATAGAGGCGTTTTTCATTTCGTGACCACGATATCGTTTGGTTGGTTGGTTTGGTCCACTTAACGCTCGCAACGCCTCAAGCAACAAAGACTAAGTTTACGCGGCAACTTAAAACCGGTTTAGTAACTACCGTAGTTAGTAAACTCTTGAATTCGATTGGAATATATTTCTAAATCTAAAAGAATATACCAATCGGATGCGAGAGTTTATTAAATACGGTTGTTATTAAACCGGTTTTAAGCTGCCGTGTAAACTTAATCAGAGATAGAATGACGTTCGCAGCGTTGCAAGCGTTAAGTGGACCAAACTAACCAACTAAACGCTACCGTGGTTACGGAACAAAAAAACGCCTTAGGACAGAGACATTTAACTGTTATGTAGCTCACCAAAATGTTGGAACAATCTCTTAGCAGAAAATTTTAGTTGCAAAAACTGTTGGTAACGTAGCGTAAAGCACTTTTTTCTGCTAAACGTAAAGGTTTTTGCACGTCAAAAAGTCTTAACCGTAACCATAATTCCGTAAATTTCCAACACATACAATCAGATAAAGCAACGCAAGTGAAAATTCATGTATAGCCGTACGATTACGAATTTTTACTTGCATTGCTCTATTTGATTGATGTGTTGGAAATTTACGGAATTACGGTTAAGATTTTCTGACGTGCAAAGACCTTAACTATTAATAAGCACAGCATGTAACTCACCTGGTAGGAGTTGAAGGGATTAAAAACGATTTTTTACTCGCAAACGCGTAGTTATTAATTCTCAACGATGGGAGTTCGTGAGAATTTCTTACGTTAATATATTGACAAATGTACTTAAGTCAGGGCACGGACTTAAAGGACGGTGTGTGCGGGCGTGAGGATTGAAGCCAAGCTGAGGAAGGAGGGTAATGGCTTTTGCACACAGGACGCAGTAATGCCTGCCGCGCGACGGAAGTCCACGCGACAGCCAATCAATATATTGGTTTTCCGTAAGAGCTAGGTTATTACAGAAAGTAGCATATTGATTGGCTGTCGCGCGAATTTCCGCCGCGCGGCAAGCATTACCGCGTCCAGTGTGCAGGAGTTATAAGCCTTCGGCCATTTTGCTTGACGACATTAAGGGCTATCGCACACAAATTGACATAACTGCATATGCATAGCATAAAATCGTATGGACCAATGAGCATCGAATATTAAGCATCGAACACCAATATGGCGACTAAATACTCGATGCTCATTGGTACATACGGTCTTATGCTATGCATATGCAGTTATGTCAATTTGTGTGCGATAGCCCTAATGCTGCTATCTAAAGGTGCCAATGTATGGGAGCATTCCAGCCTCGAGCGTTAAAGCGTTAACCAATCAACGTATCAGGTTCTAGAAATATACTTGTAGTTCTTGCGGAAAGTGGCACGTTGATTGGCTACCGCTTTAACGCTCGATGCTCGATGCTCCCATGTAAAAGTACCTTGACGCATAGCAGTGATACTACTTGAAATATTTTAAACAAATGGTAAGTGAGGGTTGGACTACATTTTCCCGAAAAGTGGAGAGGATAGTATTGGTACGAACGAAAACCTCTAGACGATATAATTTTAATTTCTGTATATCAGTAACACTGTTTAAGTAGTGAGTCTGTTAGTTTGCGAAATCTTTTAGATAGATTATGGGAGAGTGTAAACAGTAAATATCGAAGAATTGTGATTCTTCATAAATATTAATATAAAATACATAATGGGGCATAAAATAAAATTAAAAAAATATTAAAATGACGCAAATAGGTGGAAACGTGGAGTGCATGGAGATAAACGAGATAAAAAAATAATTATACGTATGTGTGAATATATATGTATTTATAAATTAATAGATTATTATTGTATACAATTGTATAATTTTAATGTTTCAGTTTTAGTACGTTATGATATCATTCATGTTTGTGACATAATTCTTTGCAGTGGAATTATTTTGGCAACATCATTAAATATGGAATGAAGTCTGTGCAAGATTGAAGACAAGTTTACATAAGTTTACACAAGGAAGATAGTACAAGAAATAAATGGATGATAAACAAATATCAGATAAGTAATATATATATATATATATGCCCGCTGTTACGCACGGATTAAAGAAAGTAGTGCAAATAAAGTCCTAACTTACCGGCTTCTGCGCCCAGTTATCTAGAGTGTCGCCTTTGCTTACAGGTCTTGCGCCAGAGCTCCCCGTAGTAGTGTGGTCAGGAACCCCTTTTTGCAGAGGTTGAGGGTGGCAACTTCTGATGACAATTTTGATCGAGGGCCGTTTGTCATAATTCTCGGTACAAACCGCACATTTAATATCGGAGTGTTGAATCACGGCCCGATTTAAGAACGTAAGAACTTCACTAACCCATGTCGCCGAGGTGGTGGTTCGGACGCAATTAAGAGGGATATGGAAGAAGAGGCCTTGTTCGTGGAATCAAGAAATTAAGAATTGGCTTTATATAATAATTATATATTTTAGTATTAAGATACATAAAGATCTAATTCTAAAAGAAATATTCTACACTACTCTAGGATGGGAATTTATAATTATCAGCGTAAAAATTATGTAATCTAATTGTTCCAAATCTTACGAGGTTCTTAGGATAGAGTTAAAATTAAGGTTTAGGAGTTCTCCGGCCGATGCAAGGGTGCGTTCGAAAACACTGAAAGTCCATGACGGAAAGTGGCTGTGGTGGATGGGCTTGGTGGGGTTAGTGGAGTTGGTATCGAGAGGAGTTTTCGAACAGCCATGGAAGAATGCTCAATGTGACATACTACATGTGTGTTGCGCCTACATATGTTGTACAAAATGATCGAAAGCGTATTTCGACATTAGCTATAATTGCTTCTCAGCAAAATAACAATAAATTAATAAATTTAGTAATTAATTAATTAATTAATTTAGTAATTATTAATTTATAATTTAGTTATCTGGAAAGTTAATTGATTATATATTCCTCGGTCCGAGAACTCGGATCGATTTCTAGCATCGTGGGCACCAGGCCTAAGGAAATTTATAAACTTATTTATTACTCCTTACCTTTAACATCGTATATATAGACATTTCCCTT